AGAACCTCTTCGGCTGCATTGGAGCTGCCATTCAAGAGGCTTTGGTAGTGTTCTTTCCAATGTAGTGCAATTGATTTTTGGTCCTTCAGGAGTTTGGTTCCATCTGATGAGCAGAGGCTGTATGCCATGGTTTCTTGGTCCGTAGATGACCTTTGTGGCTTTGAAAAATCCCTGAGCATTATGGGTGTCTGCCAGGTGTTGGATTTCTTCGGCCTTCTTTGTCCACCAGATGTTCTTGAGTTCTCTTGTCCTTCTTTGGACCTCAGCTTTTGCACTGGCATAGATCTTTTTCTTAGCAGCACAGTTGATGTCTCTCTGCCATGTTTGGAAGGCTTTCCTTTTCTTGTCAATTAGCTGTTGGATCTCGTTGTCATTTTGTCAAACCAATCTTGATGTTTCTTGGTTTGATATACAATAGTTTCTTCGCAGGCTGTGATGATGGAGGTCTTCAGTTTGTCCCAATGTTCCTCAACATTTTCGGGGTGTTCTGTGGGTAGATGGTCCTTGAGTGCTGTTTGGAGAAAGGCTCGTTTGGAGGGCTCCTGAAGGGCTTGGGTGTTCATATTGCATCTTGTCTTTCTTCCTTGGAGTCTGCACTTGGGGGTGATCTTGATAGCCATCATGGAATGGATTAGCCTGTGGTCTGTCCAGCAGTTGTCAGCGCCTGTCATGGCTCTTGTGAGAAACATGTCATGGTGGTCTCTGGCACATGTGATTACATAGTCTAAGAGGTGCCAATGCTTTGACCGGGGGTGCTTCCATGATGTCTTGAACTTGTTTTTCTGGTGGAAGAGCATGTTGGTGATGACAAGGTTGTGTTCTGCACATTTGGTGAGAAGCAGGATGCCATTTGAGTTGCTGTTTCCAACCCCGTCTTTTCCTATGGTCCCTGGCCACAGGTCGAAAGTCTCGCCCGACTCTTGCATTAAAGTCCCCCAGGAGGATGATTTTGTCCTCCTTAGATATCCCCGATAGGACGGTGTCCAGCTGACAGTAAAAAAATTCCTTGATGTCTTCATCAGCATCTAGTGTTGGTGCATAGGCACTTATGATGGTTGCCTGTTGGTTTTTGGCAAGATCAATTCAGAGGGTTGAGAGTCGTTCGTTGATGCCAGTGGGTGCTTTGGTCAGATGTTTCACCAGATCATTTCTGATAGCAAAGCCAACTCCGTGCATTCTTTGGTCTTCTTCAGGCAGTCTTTTCCAGAAGAAGGTGTAGCCTCCTTTTTCTTCCTTCAGCTGTCCCTCTCCTGCTCTCCGGGTCTCCTGAAGGGCTGCTATGTTGATGTTAAAGCATCCCAGCTCCCTTGCAATGATGGCAGTTCTGCGTTCGGGGATTCACTGTCAGTGTTGTCCATCAGTGTCCGTACATTCCATGTACCAAAGTTCATTTTTCTTTTTTGGCTGCAGGGTGGTGACCCCACTGGACGCGGCAGTCCAGTCAGGGATAAGAGAGGCAGACTATGTTTAGGGCACCTTTAGGGCACCCCTCCCCATGTGGGTGAGCAGAGTGGATACTCAAAAGGGCTGCTCAGTCTTGGGTAGAGCTGCCAAACTACTCAACTGCCTCGGACCTTGAGGTAGAACGACTGAGTCTGTACCCACCGCCCATGTGCCAGTCTGTGACTAGGGGCTTCCAGATTTCACAGTCTTGCCCTTGTCGCCACTCACTGGTCGACATGGGTCTTTTGTTGCAGCATTAGCGTTGAACTAAAAGAATGAAGCAATAACAGACCACTGAATTTCCAAACGTTAATAAATATGCCACTCAGAAATACAAATATTTATCTACTCTTGTAGTCTCACATGATGTAGGGGGCATATTAAATTGAATTTTGAATATGAGTATCTATATTTCTAGTTTTTGTGTCACATTTTCAATTCAAACATGTTGGTAATGTTTTCCCCTCAGGAATCTAAAGAAGAATTTAAAGTATCCTGAATTTAAAACTTTGTAAGTGTTAGGGAAGTATTCAGCTTGTGACCATCACTTTATCATGGCAAATTGGAAATTTCAAGGATGAAGCCATTTTTTTTTTGCTATACCTGTTATTTTATATGAAGCTATGACCTTGAAGGGCTATGCTAGGAGAATCAGCCAAGCAGCATGAATGTGTATTACCGTAAATTAAAAGTGAGCAGAATATAACTCTCTGAAGGTCATTGGACAACAATCTCATGAACCTCTGGCCATGACAGCCTGTTTTTTAAAGTAAAAATTATAAAGAATACAATTGTATATAACACAACAGCAAATAAAAGGAATACAATACACAAAATGAATAAATAATATATAAGGCACAAGTATAGCTAGTACCACTTGGTACACCTACTTTGAAAAAACACTAATAAACTACATTCAATATTTTACAAATTGACTTCCTGCTCTCTTAGCAAGATATATTAAAATTTGCCAGTTATAAAAGTAATTATTTCATTTATGTTTTTGTTAATGAAAAAGTGTTAATTTTCAAACCCTGCTAGTATTGTTCCCTTTATATTCTCCCATATTTATTTTAAAAAGGAGAGCTACTCTTTCGAAAAACGAACTATTGACTTTTCTCCCTCTTACTAAAATAGCCACTTTATCCTTTTCAAAAAGTCTAAACATTTTCAAGGTCCACTCACAATTGATAGAGTCTTTGTGCTGTTCCACTTATGGGCATATAATAGGCTTGCTACAGTGATCATATACAGTATTGCAGAATTCTTTCATTTTGGGAATGTACCTCATTGCCCATTAATTCCAATAAAAATAGTTCAGGCTTAAAACAGACTCTTGACGTCAGCACAGACTGTGAAATCCTGAGAGTTGACAGTCTATCTACATCTGGAGGCTTGCAATTTGCCAGCTCATGAAATAAATTGAGTGTTTGGCATCCTATTAGTGACAAACACAGATGAAACTTGACCTTGTATCTATATATGTCTGTTCAGGGTTTTTTTTTCTCTCATTGTACTATTTGCACCTGTGGAACAACCGAAGCCTCTCTGATTTATCATTTAGCTGCTGGTACAGAATAGGGGGTGGGAGAAATATCTGCCTATATCCCTGTACCCAGATGTGGACCCATGACATCTTCTGATTGGATGTCCATTCCCCTTATTTTTCACTAACAACTGAATGGCCATCAGAGACAGGTAGGATGTGTGGCTACTAGGCCTGGGTAACAACGGAAAAATTTGTTTCTAAAATCGATTCGTTTTTTGGGTTTTTTTGCGTTTGGATATTTAAAAGAATTCCGAAATTTTCCTTTGAAAAAGTTTGATATTTACGAAATTTCGTTAATATTAACGAATCAATTCGTTAAAATGGCGGACGCGGTTGCACAACGTGAAAATAATAGTTTTAAATAATAGTTTTAACCTCGGAGAAGGAAAGAGGGGGGAAAGAGAGAGAGAGGAGGGGTGAAATCTCTATTCTGGTTTGACAATGCTTCTCAATAATAATAATAATAATAATAATAATAATAATAATAATAACAACAAAAAACCACTTTCTGCCTTCGTGCATGTAAGGCACAGTGAAAGCACTACTGAAAGATGGCCATCCATTCTTAATAATAATAATAATAATAATAATAATAATAATAATAAATATAATAGTTTTAACCTGGAGAAGGAAAGAGGGGGGAAAGAGAGAGAGAGGAGGGGTGAAATCTCTATTCTGGTTTGACAATGCTTCTCAATAATAATAATAATAATAATAATAATAATAACAAACCACTTTCTGCCTTTGTGCATGTAAGGCACAGTGAAAGCACTACTGAAAGATGGCCATCCATTCTTAATAATAATAATAATAATAATAATAATAATAATAATAATAAATATAATAAATATAATAGTTTTAACCTGGAGAAGGAAAGAGGTTAGGCAGGCAACAGGCAGGTCTCTGAGTGCTGCACTGCTGTGTCTCTTTGCCCAATGCACGCAGGCCAGAGTGAGGAACGAGGTGAGGTGACGACAGGAGGAGAGGAGAATTTGATCCACTTAAGCAGAGGCCAGGGACCCGGAAGTGGGGTAAATGCCGACCGCTTGCAACCAGGGAGAGGGGAGGGAAACAACTATAAAACTTGCACCAGACATACGGAAATAATAACGAAACAATTACAAAACAATTACGAAATAGCTTTAAAAATTCGTTTCGTTTTTTAGTTGCTCCTGAATGGTTTGTTATCGCTTCGTTATCAAGAAAAATAACGAATTATTAACGAATTACGAAATTAACGAACGAAACCGCCCAGCCCTAGTGGCTACCATGGCCAAATGGTGCCTTTCCTTGAATGAAATAACCCCTGTTGGTTCATACAAGGTAACAGTCTGCTAAATAACCTGGACATGAAACAGATCAGTTTTATAGGTGATAAACAAGTGAATTGTGCCTGGAAAAATAACTGGCAACAGTGGAATTATTTCCACAGGGGTTAGTATGGCTCCTTTGACCTTCTGCATAATGCAGCTCTTTCGACCAGCTGAAGTTTCCACATGCTATTCAAAGACAGCCCCAACTACAGTATGTTACTGTAGTTCAAATGGGATGTACCAAAAACATGTACCAAAAACATGTACCAATATGGCCACATCCAGCATCTTAAGGCGCACAAGCTTTAAATGTGCAAAAGCATTCCTGGGTACTGCTAAAACATGGGCCTGAGTACACCCAAACTGCATACCTGTGTTTTTTAGGGATAATGTAACCCCATCAAACACAGGCTGAATCCCCAATCTTCCAAGTTCTTCCTATTCCCTGATATTCTAGGGGGAATCCAAGCTTGACTTCTTTCTAGAACGAAAAATGATTAAACCAAGTCTCACCATATATTGGACACAGAGATAAATTAAATGGGATGATATATTAGAAAGTTTCAACTCTGAGTTTGAATAGGACTGTTAATAATAACGTGATAGCAAAAAGGGATATCAGGCCTTTATATAGAGGTAAAATGAAGATAATAAATTGTAATATTTATTATTCAGTTCTGCTCTTTTTTCCTTAGGAGCTGGTGGCTGGTCCCCCTTGGATTCTAATAGAGAACAATGGCTCCAGATTGATTTGGGAGACAGAGTGGAGATTACAGGTGTTGCTACCCAAGGAAGATATGGGAGCTCCGATTGGATAACAAGCTACAGTCTAATGTTTAGTGATATAGGTCGCAACTGGAAGCAGTATCGAGAAGAAGACATCATCTGGGTAAGTCTAATTGTTTTATATGAATAGCTGTGATGTAATCAATGGCCTATAGCAAAATGTACCATTCTTTTCCCCTCTTATTCAGAGTTACAGGAAATCTGTATTATTGTAGAACAGCTCCATTTTTTTTCTTCATGCTTAGGGTACAGACAATGGTAGTAATACAGTTGAAAAGCTCAATAATCCACATTGCCAGAATCTTAAGCAAGTGTGTTTCTAGTCTCCTGGATATAATGGAAAGATCAAAGAACTTGCACAGTATTATATCCCCAAGAGCTCAAATGTACAGCAAATAGATAGCATGTCCTAATATATAACATATTGTTTTTAAATCCCATGGCTTATGTTTTTCTGTGACTGGCAGTTATGGAGTTCTTGATCACTACACTTCACAGATAAGGTACCATATTGTACTTTATAAAATACTGGGTATGAGTGATCCCTATAGGCAATATGCTTCATTCACTGAAATAATTCTACTTCTGTTCTCTTTACTGCACATAATAAAGATATGTAGATCAGAACTGGTACTGGCTCTATATTACCTGTATAAAATCGGGTTTCTGTAAGTGTTATTGTATCCCTTAGATTAATTCTATTTACCATATTTGGAGGTCTCAAGTTGAAAGACTATATCAGACAATGGCTAGAACTTTGAACAATGAATATTGAAGCCTCCTTTGGGGCATAAATGGACTCAGTGGCTTTTTAAAGTGGAAGCTGCAATTTTCTTAGCATGTCCTAGTGCTCTTGTAAGGATGATAAATTAAATGTTTAACATATTCAACAAGTGTTCTGTAGATGTTAAATATGCTAATTATTGTTGCTATTTCACTATCCCCAGAGGGTTTACAATTTAAACATTTAATGCTGGACTGCCCTTTCACACTTCTTCTAATAACATAACTTCGAAAAACATGGTTAATAAAGCAGTGGGAGTTCTCTTGAGGGTCATCATTGTTAGCCAATGTTCTGGCTTAGTTCAATTGTTTCTATCTTATAGTTATTCCAAAGGTTATCTGATGGTTTTTAGTATTGATACTTCAAAAGTGGATGACCAAAGAGCATATATTTTAATGTTGAAATCAAACAAATTACACAGATTCTCAGTTAACTAAAACTGAAGCAACCAGAACTCTCAAGCAACCAGCAAAGATCAAAAAAATAATACTTTATACAAAATTAAAATTAAATCAGTTTTGTAATACAGTAAAACTCTGTTGCATTAAGTTAAATTTGTCATAATTTGTCATAATTTGTTTATTATTTGTTTATTTCAATTACATACCACTTTTCTTACCCTGGGTGGAGCGGGGACTCAAAGCAATTCACAACAAAGTAAACAGCAAAATCCAATGTCTCACATAAAATATAAAATACATCACAAAGTTAAAAAACAGCATATAACAATAGATTAAAACCAGTAAACTATAAAACACTGGGCATAGACCAAACAGAAAACATAGAACAGTAGGCATTGCACCAATTTGCTTTCCGTTATTGTATTTCAATATTAATATCAAGTCAATATAGAGTTTATTGTATGGTATTATATGGGGTATAGTATTAGAATCTCTCAGGTGACCAAAAGCTACAGTTATTTGGCATCTACCAATCCACATGGGTGCTGGTTGACTGAGATTCCACTGTATATAAAATGATAGGCAAGAAAAAAAACACAAATGCCAATTACAGGAGAAAAATGTAGAAAACCTGAACACATTTACAAGACAAGATAATATCATCATCATCATCATCATCATCATTTAATTACTTATTAATCGCTCTCCATCCAAGATGCTCTAGGCTATTTACAAGCTAAAATTGTAAAGGATAAAAATACATACATACAGATATTGATAAAATTAACAAAGATCAAAAGCTCTAGTAAAAAGCCAGGTCTTAAGTGCTAGGGTAAAAGGCCCTCTCATGTAGGGCGGCAAGGAATTCCACAAGGCAGGGGCAGAAATAGAAAAAGCTCTGCGTCTGGTCCTTTCCAAGTGCACTTCTCTAGGACCCGGTATATAAAGTAAGTCACGTTGGGATGGTCGTTGCGACCTCCGATGATGGGAGAATGAGAGACGGTCCCTAAGATACGATGGACCCTGGCGTAAAGAATTTTAAAGGTCAGAACTAGCATCTTATATAGACCACGGTAATCAGTTGGAAGCCAATGCAAATGCCGCAACACTGGTGTTATATGGCATTTCATGGGTGTTCTTGTGAGTAGCCTGGCTGCCTCATTCTGAACAATACGGAGCTTTTGGGTCATAGACATTGGAAGGCCAACATACAGGGTGTTGCAATAGTCTAGCCTAGATGTGACCGTGGCATGGATGACTGTTGCCAGAGCCTCATCAGATAGGTAGGGTGCCAATTGCCTCGCTTGTCGTAGATGGAAAAAGGCCTGTTTGCTGGCAGCAGCGACCTGAGCTTCCATTGTCAGCTGTGAATCCAAAATGACACCCAAGCTCTTAACGGTAGGCGAAGGAGATAGGGCAGCATCATCGAAGGTGGGTAGCAAATGGGTCAGACCAATCGAGCGGCCATGCCAGAGTCTTCGCCTCAACCTCAACGCATTTACAAGACAAGATAATATGAAAAGGTTTTCGCTTGGCACTTAGATGCTAAGAGTAGTTAGTTAACAGGCAAACTTTCCGATGGAGAAATGTCAGAGAATCAGCTAATTTAGTTTATACAAGAATCATAGAATAATAGAGTGGGAAGAGACCACATGGGACATCTAGTCCAACCCCCTGCCATGCAGGAAAAGCACAATCAAAGTATCTGTGACAGATGGCTATCCAGCCTCTTTTTAAAAGTTTCCAAGGAAGGTGCTTCCAACATACTCTGAGACAGAGTTCCACTGTTGAACAGCTCATATGGTCAGGAAGTTCTTCCTAATGTTCAAGTGGAATCTCCTTTCATGTATTTGAACCCATTGCCTTGAGTCCTAGTTTCAAGGCCAGCAGAAAACAAACCTGCTCCCTCTTCCTTATGACACCCTTTCACATATTTATACATGGCTATCATGTCTCCTCTCAACCTTCTCTTCTGCAAGATAAACATATCCCATTCTTTAAGATGTTCCAGCCCTTCGGTCATTTTAGTTGCCCTCCTCTGGAAACCTTCCAACTTGTCAATATCTCTATTGAATTGGACACAGCATTCCAGGTGAGATCTAACCAAAGCAGAATACAAAGTCATCATGACTTCCCCTTGGTCTAGATATTATACTCCTTTTGATACACCCCAAGATCCCATTTGTTAGTTTTGGCCCAACTCTTTAATCTGTTACAATCATTTTGAATTCTGTTCCTGTCCTTTGGAGTATTAGCTATCCCTCCTAATTTGTTATCATTTACAAACTTGATAAGCATGCCCTCTAAACCTGCATCCAAGTCATCAATAAAGATGTTGAACAGTACTGGGGCCAGGACAGAACCCTGCAGTACTCTACTAGTAATTTCTTTCCAGGATGAAGAGGAACCATTGGTCAGCACTGTTTGGGTTTGATTGCTTAACCAATTACAGGTCCACCTAATAGTAGCATTGCCTACCCAGATTTGACTAGTTTGCTTGCAAGAAGGTAATGGGATACTTTGTTGAAGGCCTTACTGAAACCAAGATAATTTACATCCACAGTATACCCTGCATCTACCATGCTTGTAACTCTATCAAAAAAAGAGATAAGATTATTCTGGCATGACTTGTTTTTGAGAAATCCGTGTTGACTTTTAGTAATCACAGCATTCCTTTCTAACTGATTGCAGACTGCCTCCTTAATTATCTGCTACAGAATTTTTCCTGGCATTGATGTCAGGCTGCCTGGACTGTAATATTTTAAGTTCTCTTTTTCCCTTCTTGAAGATAGGGACAACATTTGCCCTCCTCCATTCTGTTGGGACTTCTATTCTCCAAGAATTCTCAAAAATATTGATAGTGGTTCTGAAATAAATTCTGCTAGTTCATCTGGCCCTGGAGACTTGAATTGATTTAGAGTAGTCAGGTATTCCTGGACTACTTCCTAAATTTATTTTGGGTTGCATTTCCCGTATTACCCCATTTGTTCTCTATTGCTCAGGTTGAACACCAATCTCCTTTTGGCAGAAGATTGAGGCAAAGAAGGTGTTGAGCATCTTTGCCTTTTCCTTATCCCCTGTTAGCATTTCACCAACTACTCCTTGCAGAGGCCCTATCATTTCCTTTTTCTTCCTTTTTCTACTGACATAACCAAAGCATCTTACTTTTAAGAAACTCCCATTCATCACTAACTCCATTCTCTTTAAATATTCCTGTTCATGGATTCACACTCAGTATTTCCTAAAATTTCCTGAAATCAGCTTTCCTAAAGTCTAGAATGTTTGAATTCTCTTAGTTTCCCTTCCTTTGTATCACAAACTGCAGACGCACATGGTCACTCCCACCTAAGCATCCCACCACTTCCACTCCATTGACCAGATACTCAAGGCCTTTCTACACAGCCATATAACCCAGAATATCAAGGTAGAAAATCAACAAATTCCTCACTTGCCTTGCAGACTATTTTATTGTCCAGAAGGTAGAGGAGGGAACATAGGGATCAGTTATTCTGCATCTGATCCTAACCAACACTGAGGCCCCTTCCACACAGCTGACTAAAATCCCACATTTCTTCTTTGAACTGGAAAATATGGCAGTGTGGATTCAGATAACCCAGTTCCATGCAGATATTGAGAGGTCTTTGTACTCTTAGCAAAGTTTGTTTTCCCATAAACACCAACAAATGCTAATTGCTACTGCATTTTAAACTGATTATAATCTCAGTTAAATCATTTTGAATAGATAGGTGGCTTAGAAGCAGATAAAATGAAAGTCTGTCTGTGCCCATATGAACCTGCTCAAATCCTAATATTAGTCATAGTGATCCTGAACATGTGCATTCACAGCATTTGGCAAAGCAGGGTTAACAGGAACAGGAGGTTTTTTTTTTAGTGGTAACGCCAATGTTGTGAAACTTC